TGACAGATGACCAGATAAGCATGCTAGCCGCAAGAGTAACCGCAGAGCAGCACTGGCAGAGCAACCACCATCATCGCCGTCACAATGTTAAATGGGTTTAGGGTTTAGGGTTTAGGGTTTAGGGTTTAGGGTTTAGGGTAAAAAGCCTTGCACTAAACCCCAAGCCCCAAAACCCGGAGCCCGAAATCCCCACACCCAAAAACCCCTGACCCCTTTATCCCTAACCGCCGAACATCCGGGCCTTCAAGAAGCCCCGTCACTCCACCCCGACACGCTGGGCTTGGAGTTTGGGAACTTTAGGTTTCGAGGTTTACGGTGTAGGGGTGGGCTTGAGGGGATTTAAGGTTTCAGGGCTTTTTGGGGTTTTCGGTGTTGGGGTCCTCAGCTTTTGGGGTTTTTGGATTTCGCAATAAGACCTAAACCCTGAACCCTAAACCCTGAACCCTGAACCCTTAGCCCGAAGCCCTGAAACTTTAGGGCTTAGCACCCGAGGCCTGCATTACTCAGACGGGCAGCTCGCCCCCTGGCCTGCCTTCTGATCAGCTTGCCGTTTTTTTGGGGGTTTGGGGTTTGGGGTTTAGGGTTTAGGGTTTAGGGTTTGGGGTTTAGGGTTTAGGGTTGAGGCCTTCCCCCTTAGACTAACAGCCCTTCAGAGGGATGATAGTTGTGGGGTACTGTCATATTAAGGACTGTGGGGGAACATCCCCTGTTAGGGGTTTGGGCGTTTAGGATTCAGGGTTTAGGGTTTAGGGTTTAGGGTTTAGGGTTTAGGGCTCAGGGTTTACCCAGAGTGGGGGTCTATGAGCCGACTGCGAGGTTTGGCGGTTCCAAGGGTCCAAGGCTGGCCTGTATGCCCCCATGCCGCCTACAGCCTAAACCCGAAACCAGGAATATAAGCGCTTAAGCACCTAGACCCGGCACCCTAACCCCAAAACCCTAAAACCCTAAACCCCAAAAGAACCCAGAAGACCCCCAGACAAAATGCAAACAAATCAGCCTACTTCGACCATCCCAGCCCCGCAGGCAAGGAATTTGCGATCTTATCCTGGGGTTGGGCGCTCCAGGGACACTCTGGGGATTCGTTTGGGGACAGCCGTTGGACACGGTAGGGGTTCCCTGACAAAAGCTCTGGGTATTGGATACTCTGGGGTAGGGCACCCTAGGGACTCTTTATGCAGGACCTTTGGGGTCTATGTGAGTATACTCTGCTAATTATTTTAAGTAGCAGCCTGAATAAGATGAATATCAATCGCAGGACAAGGGCTTTACGTGTTTCAAACCACTTGAAACACTTGAAACACTTTCCTCCCCAGAGAGAAGTGTTTCATGTGTACCAAGCGTTTTGATGTTAGTGGGTTGGGGAAAACCGCTAGGAATTCCCCAACCCAGGACAGCACTCGAAACAGTTGTCTCCCCGGAGAAAAGCGAGTCAAGTCGTCGATGAGGCCGTCGACCCGTCAATAGGGATACTATCACTTGGACGACTACAAAGTGAGACCCTCTATTTGTGTATAGACAACCAGTTTTCCATCATCGGCTTGATTCGTGCGAGTGGCATACTGTAGCGGGCAGGGCTCTCTTCAAGACCCAGGGTGCGATACACTTACCACATTCATGACCTTCACTTGCAGCACGCCACGTTCGATGGAAGGGCGTGCGCTCCTCAATTCTGAATTGCCTCAGATTGAATCTGCGAGCTCCTGCGAGGCGCATTGTTGGGAATTCGGGGTGTTCAGCGTTTAGGGCGGCCTAAGGTGAGGGCATCCCACATTGCCATTAACAAAGACTTGTTTATATGCATTTGACTTTAATGCTTAGTTTTGGGTGCGTGGTTGTTGGTTTTCTCGTAACTTGGAAGGTTTCACGCTTATCTTATTTCAAGCAATGGCTCTTTATGAAGGGGTCACTGTCAAACAGGCCCGTAACAGAAACAGATTTGGGAAGAGATTCCGTAAATATTTTTAGGGTTCAGGGTTTAGGGACCCCCCTGAATATCCAAAGCGCATGTTTGAGTAGGGGCCAAAGCTGAAAGAGGCCACCTGCCACAACTGGGCTTTCGCCCAAGGTCCTGTACCTAAAGAGGCCACCCCACCTGACTGTCCAAAGCACATGTTTGAGTAGAACCTCGCGAAAGTGCGCCGGAGAGGGTTTTCGTGGCTCAGGGGACAGAGGGATCCAAGTTCTAGAGTCTATGGCTATAGGTCTATCCTGCCTCTCCATTCTGGATGACGAAAACCCTCTCCGGCGCACCTTTGGCTCACGAAAGTGCGCCCGGGAGGGTTTTCGTGGCTCAGGGGACAGAGGGATCCAGGTTCTATAGTTTATGGCTATAGGTCTATCCTGCCTCTCCATTTTGGATTGCCACTGACACACCAAAGAGGCTATTGCCTCGTTTCGGCCTAAGGATTGCCACTGACACGCCAAAGGGGCCATTGCCTCGTTTCGGCCCAATGATTGCCACTGACACACCAAAGAGGCCATTGCCTCGTTTCGGCCCAATGATTGCCACTGACACACCAAAGAGGCCATTGCCTCGTTTCGGCCCAATGATTGCCACTGACACACCAAAGAGGCCATTGCCTCGTTTCGGCCCAATGATTGCCACTGACACACCAAAGAGGCCATTGCCTCGTTTCGGCCCAATGAACTCACAGGTTCCATTTACAGGACTTGCGACGTGATTTGCTACTACATGCCCTTTTCCCTCTCATTCCCCCAGATATGTGGCTGACAGTTAAACAGGCCATTGCTTGAAATAAACTTATCACTTGTAGACATGCAATGTGAGAGGGAACACATGACCCAAACAGCAAAAACCGGAGTCGCTAGATTGAAAAATCGTTCCGTACCAAGAAGACACGACAAGATCAGCTGCCCGTTCATTGTCAAGGCAGTTGACGACATCGTTGGCTTGAATCGAGCCTTCGTAGGCGCGCGGTTGTCTCTTGAAGCTTGGCAGTTCTTGTTGGTCGGTTTCAGTTACACGAGGTGAAAACCTATAACGAGAAGCACATCACGACGTGCACTCGACAAGACCTCCGTCGTGCCATTGAGGTCTCGGGAGCTGGGTATTTGCGTGAGTTGCAGAGGGAAATGATTTGCCCCGCTCACAGACAAGTGTGCGTATGCTTTTGCTCTGAGGTGATGGTCGAGGGTCTGTTCACCTACGGGGGTCTGGTTGCTGGTTTCGTCAGCAGCGACCCGCTCCACTGTCGTCCGACAAACGCAGCTTTGCCGAATGAAACTTCAGTGTGAAGGTTCAATCATGCTGGTTCGAATGCTTGTGTGTGGCTGCATTGGGCTGGCCTCTTCTGCAGTGGGTTCCAAGCTTGCTGCTGCATTCCACGTGCGTGAGATCAGATGCGTTTCGAACCGCAATCTAATTTTCTCTCCTGCATTCAGGCATTCGCGACGAGCCTGGTGACAATAATGGACTCTCTCCAGGTGCGCCGGCTCGCGAGAGACCTGTCTAAGAGTCTATAGGCATTCACTTCAGAACTTGCGGGCGGTTGGTTACACATTGCGTGCAGGTGCGGCGTCGGTCCAAGGAACTGGTATATCCCGATGTCCTCGCTTGCAAATCCGAACCCCGTCGGCAATGTGTTCGGATTGATACAAGAAGGATTGGATCCTGACTAGCTTGGGGTTCGCTGGGGCTGGCTTCAACATCCGGCATCTCGGCTGCTGTGGTATTGTACGCAACCGTTGTGAGCGAAGTGCAGCGGCGTTGAAGTTGGGTGAACCATCTAGCTTGACGGGTTGAGCGTGCTTTGTCTTAGGTGCCAGTACATTGCCGTGGCTGCTGGTCACTACGGCCCAGGTGGCCACGGCGACAATGAGGCGCAGCGCACGGCCTTAGAAGCGGCGGCCAACCGTGAGCTGCTGCAATGCTTCGGTGTCTCCTCCATCAAGGACAGAACATGAGAGTCAAGAAGGCTTCGCACGCAGTCGTTCATCTCGAGTATTCTCTGCTTACGGGCTTCGTGTATATTCCTTCGCATTTAAACCCCCGCAACACTGTTTTGCGATTCTTTGAGCAGGAGAAAAATGGTCGCGCGTCCATCAACTGGGAGCGGCGGCAGGGTCGTATCATCTATTGCAGCTCCGGGAAGTTCGCGCCCCATGACCAAGAGGTGACTTGCAGAGATTAACGTTTATGCTGACGTTGTATAAGGGAATGCCTTGGCAGGATGTGGACGCTGACGATGTTGCCAACATCATCAAGAACAGTGCCTTGCATCCACAAAGATACCGAGATTCAACATGGATAGCGCAGTGTCGAGCGAAGTACGTCAACCTTGTTTGGGTGATGTTGCTTGCATGTCGCAGGCTACGCGGATATCTTTCAGCTGAAGGCGGTCGTAGGGCGACTAGTTGAGTTGTGATGATGACCATCCTGCCCATGCTTTTGCATGGCTCCAGGATCCTGTCAGCGCCAGGGATGTTGCTGACAAGTTGAACCGTCTTCCCTTCATGGCACGGCGGGTGACTGTTCGAGATGCTGTTCCATGACATGTCACAGGTGGACATTCTTACGCCACGCACGTATGTTGCATGCTTTGTTGTTTGAAGGTTGGGCTCGCTTTGTCCAAGTTGAAGTTCCGCAAGGCTGGGCCTTATGCATGTGGTCGGAGAATTGGTTTCTGAAGTCTGGAATAAGCGGCGTCAGGATCGTCTTACCTGCAGGTAAACAGGTCTTGTCACAGCCTGCCCTTTTTAAGAGAATCACAGAAAATTTGCTGCGTTGAACCGCTTCCTCTTTGTCTCCGCAAAAGCAGGCCGTCCGACACAGGCAGATTTTGCGAACCCAAGATCTTCGGAAAATCTGCCTCCATTGTACCTAGAAACAAGCCATTCAACGCAAGCAAATTTCTTGATTCCAAGAGACAAACAGGAGGCGTATCAATAGAGGCCGTGAGGCGTTTGGGTTGGCTTGATTCATAAGTAGGAAACAGAGACAAGACAAGACCTCGCATGATACCTAAAGGTCCATGCCTCCCATGGAATCTGTGCCGATAATCTGGGGTTGCGCACTGCGGAAAATACTTTGGTCACTCCAGGGACGTACTCTGGGTTGGGCACACTGGACTCTGGGCAAATTTTCGGGTTGGGCACTCCAGAAAAACTCTTCGGGGATACGCTCCATGCACTCTAGACACGCCTTCCTGTAAACTTTGTGAAGAGCTCCATCCTAAACCCTAAGCCGGGCCCCACAGCGCCCCCTCCCACAGCAGAGGTTTTGCTGTGGAGCAACGTGGTGATCTACGGCTTCGACCCGGTTAGTCGGCTCCTGACTGCCTTCACCAACTTCAGGCGATTGAAGGTTTACGACCTAGGTACCCTGAGCCCGGCTCAGAGTGGGCCGTGGGGTTTAGATGTGGGATTTCGGACTTCGGGGCGTTCTTGGTGTCTTGGCTCGAGATCTGCGTCCGAGCTTTGATGGTTTGAGGTCTGCAGCCTTGGTTTAGGGTTCGTGGTTTCGAGCTTCGATTGTTTCTGTGTTCTTGCTGCAGTTTCATGGCTGGTCGAGTGGGATCGGGGGGTTGCGGGTTCCACAAGAAAGGCTGCTTGCTTGGAGGCGCGCAGGCACTGATCATTGGGATTTCTTGGGGAGGTATAACCTACTTATGACCTCAGGCACACCTAATTAACGCCTCGTCTTCGCCTTCAGCCCTAACGTCCGTATCTGTACAGCCTTGCATTGAAACCCGAGATCCCCAAGCCCAACATTTACCTGCATCTCAACACCCGGATCCTTACATCCCTGAACCCACCCAAAGCCCCAAACCTCCAAGACCCCCAGACTCCAAAAATGCCAAGCCCTTCATCCTCTTAGATCCTGGGTAGGTAGACAAACCCTGCAAAACCCAGAAAGATTCTCCTTGCTTCATTGGGTTACGCCGCAAGGCGCCTGGGTTGGCTCATCGCAGTCTTCGTCCTCGCAGCCGCGGTGGTGCCTGAATCGTTGGGTTTAGGGTGACCCCAGGTTTAGGGTTTAGGGTTTAGGGTTTAGGGTTTAGGGTTTAGGGTTTAGGGTTTAGGGTTTAGGGTTTAGGGTTTAGGGTTTAGGGTTTAGGGTTTAGGGTTTAGGGTTTAGGGTTTAGGCTTGGTTCAGACGTTTTGGGGGTTCATGCTTTGGGGTTTTCGGGATAAGGGCTTGGGATTTGGGGGTTGGCCGAAGGCTTGATGGTTTTGGGTTTGGGTTGCACGGGTTTTGGGAGTAAAGGTTGAGGGGTTTGGGGTTAGGGTACGGTATGACCAGAAGTACGCTGCTTCTCTTCTGAAGTAGGACATCGACCCTACGTTTGTACCTAAACCCTAAATCCTAACCCTAAACCCTAAACCCTAAACCAGTAGTCCCTACAAAAGTCTCATTCAGGAACCCTGGGTGTGGGGGAAAGCTTTTGACAGCCAGGGCCTTCAGAAATTTCCCAAAAGCCCTTTAAACACCACGGCTAATTCCTACTGACAGCCTTGAGCAAGACCTAAAAATCCCAAACGCTGCATGTCCTAAACCCTATAAACGCTAGGCCCCTCCTTGGCCACGGTCAGGTGCTGGTTGCCGCGTGGGTCAAGCCCACAGAGGCCGTCGGTCGGGGCTTCATGGGCTGTTGGGGGTCTGGGGTTTCGGCTTCCGGGTTTACAAGGAGCATTTTTCCCCAAACAGTCTACTGTTGGGGTTCTAAATTCATTTAAGGATTGCCGACATTCTGAGGACTGTTGCCGGGTGCCTGGGTTCCTTGTCTCCCTTTGTCTCCCTTTGTCTCCCGTTGTCTCCCTTTGTTTCCCTTTGTCTCCCTTTGTCTCCCTTCATGTGGGTGGCTTTGCCGGGTTGCTGTGCTCCTCGTCTCCCTTTGTCTCTCTTCGTCTCACTTTGTCTCCCGTTGTCTCCCTTTGTTTCCCTTTGTTTCCCTTTGTCGCCCTTTGTCTCCCTTCATGTGGGTGGCTTTGCAGGGTTGCTGCGCTCCTTGTCTCCCTTCGTCTCACTTTGTCTCCACTGTTTCTTTGACGTGCCTTTGACTGTTTGGGGTCTTCGGTGGTGTAATTGAGTTTAGGGCTTCGGGTTTAGGACTTAAAAGGTTTTTTGGGCGTCCAAGTTTGGCCTCGGCAACCAAAGCTTGCTCTACCCGAGAACTTTCAAGTCGCGATTAGGGTGACAGTCTGCGTCCAGGATTGGGGGTTGAAAGAGGAGGTGCTTGCCCTTCGGGCCTCTTCTCAGGGCCTCTTCTGGATGCGGCCTCCGACTTGAGCAAGTCCAGGTTTAAGCAACGTGACATGTGTTCATTGCCAGCTTTACAGGTGCGTGTAGAGATAGCAAGGCCTCAAGGATCTACTGTCAAGCCCTGTCCAGTCATCTTCATGTATGAGGTTTTTGGAGGGGGTTTAGACGGTTTTTGGGGGTTCTGCAAGGTCGCAACAAAGGAGGCAGGATCAAACTGCGCAACAGCGCCCTATCCCACAAAGCTCTGCCCTGCCCTGCTGAACTCCCCAGGATGCTGAACCTCAAAAGCCCATGCCTTCCCTGTCAATGCCTCCCTGCCCCCCCTCAAGAAAGCGAGAGAGAAAAACCGAGAAATCTATCCCCCAAAAAACCCCATACCCTAAACCCTAAAGCCCTAAAGCCTGAACCCTAAACCCTAAGCCCTAACCCTAAACACTAAACCCTAAACCCCCGCTACCCCGCCTGAACAAAATGACGGCCGAAACACAAAAGAACACAACACATACACACACAACATAATAAACAATCAACAAAAACAGACAAAAACAACACATGCCAAAAAGAAGAACACAATAAACAATCAACAAAAACAGCAAACCAAGAAAGCAACAAGAAAGAAAACCCTAAACCCTAAACCCTAAACCCTAAACCCTAAACCCTAAACCCTAAACCCTAAACCCTAAACCCTAAACCCTAAACCCTAAACCCTAAACCCTAAACCCTAAACCCTAAAGAAAGAAAACAAGAGAAGTTGAGGCGACTCCGGGGCTCTTCGGCTGGCCGTGGGTGTGCCCGGCAGCGTCTTTTCAGTGGCGTTAAGGGCACTCCTTTTCTTTAGCTCTGCAAGCTGAGGTTTCAGGGTTTGGGGTTTAGGGTTTAGGGTTTAGGGCTTCTGGGTTTAGGAGTTAAGTGGCCGTTTTGGATTTCACGGGCATTTTGGGGCGTTTTTTTCGGCTCGTCGAGTGAGTCAGAGATTTCAGGAAATAGAAATGCTGTAGTAGAGCTTGGAAAACTCGGGGATGCGATTACAGTGCACAGTTGCACCCCCAGACTTCTTGTTGCCAGCTCGTCTTCTTGTTGCGGCTCATGAGGGAGAAGTCTTGGACAGTTCAGTAGATCTTGTGCAAAACGCACTGGAGCGCAATCGTTTCTCCTGAAGGCCCCGACTAGAAGCCCCTCAATGAACCGAAATCATGAGTCTCGCCAGGTCGTGCCCTTAGCAAACGTAGTCTTTGCAGCCTCTTTCGGCTACGCCCGGACCATGGCCTTCTTGATTCTCAAGGACCGGGGTTCGAGGATTAATGGTTTGAAGTTCCAGGGCTTCAATAAAGACTTGAGAGGAGCTTCAGGCCCCGTAGGGCTGTAGGCCTGACAAGGGTTCAAACACAAAAGACAGCATTTCTTGCGGGGCGAAGCAGCATGTTGACCCCAAACGTGGAATTTAAGGGATATGGGGCTTCTTGACCTGCTTCCCAAACCCGAGCAAACAAAAAATCGTTACTGGATATAGGTCGAGCGACAACGGGTTGGGGTAGCATCGGCCTCAGAATGTCGTGCACGTCGGGGAGCATCCTTGCATTGATCTGTTGCGCATGCTGGGCCACTGAGGTTCAGGGCATGGTTTTAAACCATTGTTGGCCCAATACCAAAAAGCCTAGGTAAGGACTGGTTGCAACTTGAGTCGTGCTTCAGCATTTGGCTGGAAGTTCTCGCAGTTTAGTGTTTTGGCTTCTCCAACCAACTGCAAGAACCAAACTTCGTCAGCAAACTCTCAACCCCAAGCCCCTCAACCCCCTTCAACCCTGAGCCCTAAACCCTAAACCCTAAGCCCTAAACCCTAAGCCCTAAACCCTAAACCCTAAACCTAGGTTGAACCCTGAACCTTACAACTACTTGCGTCGTCCCTCGAGGCTGAAGCCCAGAAGTGCCCGAAGTGTGCCAGGAAAGGGGGTTCCATGGGAGTCATTGGGGTTTCGGGTTTAGGGTTTAGGGTTCAGGGTTCAGGGTTCAGGGTTGCCATGATGGTCGTAGTTGGACTGCAGGGACTTCCCTTTCAGCTCAAGCAAAAAAGCTCATAGAGCTGAAGCTGAGCCTTGTAGCAGTCCAACCCCAAGCTCCCGCAAGGAGGGACCTGCTCATGTGGCCACATGATATCTTGGAATACTTACAAAGGCCTTGACACCTCAGCCAGCGACCTCCAGCTGACAATCTCCTTCCGAAAGTATCTTACACGTTTAGAAAGCGTAGCTGAGATTCTGTACATTCGCCATTGCTGCCGGCTGCTGACCATGCGTCTCTGAAGCAGTATAGCCGTCAGTTGTGCAGCAGTTGCTCTTGCTGCAACTTGGAGCCTACTGGTTGCCATCTTTCTGCGCAAGTCTTTTCGTTCAAGCCCGAAGCGCCTTAAGCTGGGCTCTGACAGAGAGGCGCGACCCCGTCGAGCGCATCTCTACACAGAAGCTTGGCCAAGACGCAGAGGGGGGTGTTGTGGGCGAGTCGCGGGGTTCGGACGACCCACCCTACCTTAAACCCTAAACCACCCGAAGCCTAGAAGCCTTTGTTGGCCACGCATAGTCAATAGTGCCCTCCCCTAATATTAAAACACCACAATAGCCTTCTATATTTCTGAAGTACGGAAGTTTTTCTTGCGTGTCTAGTGTTACAAGTGCGCGTGAAATATGATTTGACTGGTTTTAGCTTTGTTTGTGGTACCGACTTGTACCGACAATCTGCTTAGATATACCCATGAACCTTTGAAAGTAGACCCTAACCTCGAAAGACTAAACCCCAAACCCCGAAACCTTAAACCCCAAACCCTAAACCCTAAGCCCCAAAACTCTAATATCCTAAACGCTAAAGCCCTAAACCCTCAAAAAGTCTCAGGTTAAACCCTAACCCACTAAACCCTCAAAAAACCCTCCGGTTAAACCCTACACCCCTAAACCCCTAAACCCTCAAAAACTCCTCAGGCTCAACCCTAAACCCCAATCCCTAAAACCCGAAACCCCTAAACCCCAAAGCCCCAAAGCCCTAAACCCTAAACCCTAAACCCTAAACCCTAAACCCTAAACCCTAAACCCTAAACCCTAAACCCTAAACCCTAAACAAGCCGGTCTTCTCTCAGGCAGCTTGTCAACGTGACCAGCGGCGGTGGCTCGAGCGTCGTCAAAGCCGCGGCTGCGGCCGGGCGGGTGTAGGCTTTAGGGTTTAGGGTTTAGGGTTAGGGCTTAGGGTTTAGGGTTTAGGGTTTAGGGTTTAGGGTTTAGGGTTTAGGGTTTAGGGTTTAGGGTTTAGGGTTTAGGGTTTAGGGTTTAGGGTTTAGGGTTTAGGCTTGCTTCCCTAAGCCCTGAGCCCTGTGAGGGTTTCGAAATAGAACAACCCAGGTTGGGTGGGGTCTTATATGAAGGGCTATAGTGATTTAGTATTCTGGTGTGCATGCAGGGCACCCCAGTACAGGAAATCTCGACAGTGGAGGCCCAAGTGAGCCCCACCTTTTCAGAAAGCCCCCAGCTCTCAAACCCCGAAAGCCAAAAACATTTAAAACCTAGGCAACCTATATACGCCCTATATAAGCCCCTGTATAAAAGCTTTGTATATCAACCCTCTATTTATATGTGCATATATATATATACATATAAACATAACAATCTATATATATATATATGTATATGTATATATATAAACCCTATATAAACCCAAATAAACCCCATACAATCCCTACTAACCTTCAGGCCCCAACCCGAGAGGAGGTCACCCTGATATCTCAACCCTATCTATATCTATATCTATATCTATATCTACATCTACATCTATATCTACATCTATATCTATATCTATATATATATGTGGCAGGGATTTTTAGGGTTCATTTCGCTTAGCATCCGTAGTCATCATATATATACACTAATAAAAATTCATTTTTGCCTTATCACTTATTATATGCCTAAATACATCACGACAAACACTACTACTTGTTCAATATATGATATTGAATTGGATTGCTTTTTTGTTGCTGAAGTCAGATTGTCTGCGACAATCCGCAGGAATCTATACCTGCAACTTCTGTTGGGTGAAAAAAAGTTTGCACAATCGCACGCACCTGACCACACCGTCAAGTTTCGGTAACTATGCACCGCATCTTAACTCCTCTGCTGCATCATGTTGTGCGTTCGTGCTTGGCTCCTCAGTTTGCTGCTGTCGTCTGAGCTAGACCCCATGTGCTGTGCAGCGAGGCAATCACGCTAGGGAGCTGCGGTAGAGCTCAGACCAGCCATCTCACACGTCACGCGTGGGAAGTCGCTGCGCGGTCTCATCCTCTTCAATCCTTTGTTAGGGTAGGGGTTCAGGGTTTAGGGTTGCTGGGTTAAGGGAAGTTCGGTGACTATGGTTCATTCTTAAGAGCCCGGGCAAACTCTTAAATTTAAGGAGGTCTGGTTTAGGGTTTCGGGTTGCTGTAGAAGGAGCAGTGTGCTGCTGTAGGATTCAGGTCTAGAGTTCCCTAAACCATACATCCTTAAGCTTCTGAGAAGCATCCAGGAGCCGAAGAAAACGTCCATGCTCTCCATAAGTATCCAAGGATACCCAGTCCTGTCGAGTCCATTCTAGGAGTTATGCTAGGCCAATTTTGTTCCCTTTCGGTTGCCTCCTCATAGGTTTTATGGTTTAGGGTTTAAGGCACCGGCTTTTTTTTTTAGATCTGGGAACCTACATTAGGAAGGTTATAAGTTTCTTCTGACTTAGCTAGTTGATCGTATTGTTGAGGAGCGCGATGTGGAAACTACGATAAAAACCTAATGCTCTTAACCCCGAGATCCCAGAAACCATAAACCTTAAAACCTAAACCCTGCAGTTAAATCCCTGGGGACCTGATGGCATCTTGAAGGCCTGCTTCGGCGTGGAGCTTGGGGCTTAGGCTTAGAGTTTAGTGATTCGAGCTTAGGGTTTAAATTTAAGGGTGCAGGGTTTCGGGTCTAGGGTTTTTGGAGTTTAGAGCTTAGGGTTCAGGGTGTTTTGTAAGGAACACACAAACCCTAACGTAGGAACCCTTAACCCTCTCTCCCGCTCGGCTGCGAGCATCCACAAAATGCTCTTAGCCCGAAAATCCTACGGACCCTAAACCCTAAGCCCTAAGCCCTAGACCCTACAGCTAAATCCCTGGGGTTGTGATGGCCTCAACTTCGCCATCGTCGGCCGTCTTGCAGGCCTCCTTCGGCGTGGAGCTTGGGGCTCAGGGCTTAGAGTTTAGGGATTCGAGCTTAGGGTTCAGAGTTTAAGGTTTCGGGTCTATGGTTTTTCGGTTTAGAGGCTTTTCATGCGAAGTCCTTCTAGAGTCGCAGGGTTTAGGGTTTAGGGTTGAGGGTTTAGAGCTTAGGGTTCAGGGTGTTTTGTAAGGAACACCGGACCCTAACGTAGGAACCCTTAACCCTCTCTCCCGCTCGGCTGCGAGCATCCACAAAATGCTCTTAGCCCGAAAATCCTACGAGCCCTAAACCCTAAGCCCTAAGCCCTAGACCCTACAGCTAAATCCCTGGGGTCGTGATGGCCTCAACTGTCTTGCAGGCCTCCTTCGGCGTGGAGCTTGGGAACGTAGGAACCCTTAACCCTCTCTCCCGCTCGGCTGCGAGCATCCACAACATGCTTTTAGCCCGAAAATCCTACGAGCCCTAAACCCTAAGCCCTAAGCCCTAGACCCTACAGCTAAATCCCTGGGGTCGTGATGGCCTCAACTTCGCCATCGTCGGCCGTCTTGCAGGCCTCCTTCGGCGTGGAGCTTGGGAACGTAGGAACCCTTAACCCTCTCTCCCGCTCGGCTGCGAGCATCCACAAAATGCTCTTAGCCCGAAAATCCTACGGGCCCTAAACCCTAAGCCCTAAGCCCTAGACCCTACAGCTAAATCCCTGGGGTCGTGATGGCCTCAACTTCGCCATCGTCGGCCGTCTTGCAAGCCTCCTTCGGCGTGGAGCTTGGGAACGTAGGAACCCTTAACCCTCTCTCCCGCTCGGCTGCGAGCATCCACAACATGCTTTTAGCCCGAAAATCCTACGAGCCCTAAACCCTAAGCCCTAAGCCCTAGACCCTACAGCTAAATCCCTGGGGTCGTGATGGCCTCAACTTCGCCATCGTCGGCCGTCTTGCAGGCCTCCTTCGGCGTGGAGCTTGGGAACGTAGGAACCCTTAACCCTCTCTCCCGCTCGGCTGCGAGCATCCACAACATGCTCTTAGCCCGAAAATCCTACGAGCCCTAAACCCTAAGCCCTAAGCCCTAGACCCTACAGCTAAATCCCTGGGGTCGTGATGGCCTCAACTTCGCCATCGTTGTCAGCCTTGAAGGCCTCCTTCGGCGTGGAGTTTGGGGCT